CTCTTTTACTCTTTAGTAACTGAAGAAGCTTCTTGAATGAGAAGTGAAACATTTTCAAGGGGGGGGGAGGAAGAAACCAAGAAAGTCCAATTGTCTTTTGGACAAGAATTGTTTATTACTGAGAAGTTCAATCAAATGTACTCCCTTTCTCAAAAAAGTTACTTGAATACACAAAATAGAAATTATGTACAAATATGTTTTCATCAATGATTTAAGAAAAATAAACCAAATATTTCTCTCACTGGTAATTAATGATTAAAAGTTTTCCTCTCTTTGTCTGATAGATTTTTCTGGATCATGGGCCAGTCTCTTTCAGGAGTCTTCACATTCACCTTGAAATAATATCCTGGAAACAAAACAAAGGTTCAGTAGTATAGCACTATCTAGTCACATTTAGGATTATCTCCACTCTTCATTAAATCCATCGATGTATAATAGTCACTGCTGTCTAGGTCAATCTCAGTTGTCAGATAAGGTAAGGTAAGTAAGGTAAGGTAAGGTAAGGTAGGGTAGGGTAGGGTAGGGTAGGGTAGGGTAAGGTAGGATAGGATAGGATAGGATAGGGTAAGGTAAGGTAAGGTAAGGTAAGGTAAGATAAGATAAGATAAGATAAGATAAGATAAGATAAGATAAGATAAGATAAGATAAGATAAGATAAGATAAGATAACCTTGTTGTCATTTTTTTACTGTGGGCACATCGGCATACATTAAAACTGAAATTTAGTTGCTTGCTCTCAATACAATACAAAGCCTTTCTTTTGGTTTCTGAACAGAGAAACCAGATTTGTTCCTCTAATACAATGTTTCTCAGCCTTGACAATTTTAAGGCATGTGGACTTCAACTCCCAGAATTCCACAGCCAGCAATGCTGGCTGTGGAATTCTGGGAGTTGAAGTCCACATGCCTTAAAATTGTCAAGGTTGAGAAACACTGCTATAATACTTTCCTATATTCGCTACTAGCTATCCAGCTGATTCTCTCCCCTTGGTTCTCTCCATCCTTTCCTGATAAGAAAAAGGAATTTAACCTCACAGTAATTATTTGATATAATTTCAATTCATTTAATTATCAAGTACATTCCATCAAATTTTACCTTTGTTTTTGTCCCAAACATTTGTCCTACTGTGGCTACAGCAGCTACTTTATGGATTAATGCTTGGTGCACATCACTCCAAAGCTCAATGTCCCCATCTCCAAAATGTTGCACTCAGGATATTTATAGCTTGCCAATCACCACAGAGGTCTAGGCAGCTCTCAGGAAAAAAGAATACTTTTTTATATAAAAAAGCTCTGAAGACAGAAGTAATGACCATATTATATTTTTTATATATAGATAATATTAGGACAGGAGAATATGCTCACATTTTCACACCATGGATAATTACCTTTGTAAAATTACTAGCATGAGACAGTCAATATTATATCCCTTTGAAGCAGTCAAGCAAGAAAATAGTGATGACCTGATTTATTGGGAAAGGCAGATGAGAATAGACATAGAAACAAAGAGTATTGCTGGAACAAAGTTGTAAATATTCTTCAAGGGTTCATTTAGACATTTTCAGTATTTTCATCAGGAACAAATCAATGTAGTTCTTCAGACTTGTAACTTGAAGAAAAATTACTCGGGTGTTTGATAGTGTTTCTCTCGCTCAGAGCAAAGATGTCCTTCCAAGTAGTGGCTGAATAGAACTAAACCCAGATTACTGTATGTCTAAGTTCCTGTAAAAATTAAATTAGCTTTCAACTATATAATTCCATCCTTCCTTCTATGTGATTTGCTTCATTGTCCCATTTTCTAACTATGTTACAGGAATGCAAGCTTGTGATTATACATAGATTGCAATAGTGGAAAGTGCTTGGCTTGTGAATGAATTAATGTATAGTGTGCCCAAACAATTCTCCCATCTATCCATTCATCCCTTATTCTTTCCATTCATCTTCTCTCCAAGTCCTTTTTTCCACTTGCTGAGCAGCATTGCAGTATATTCGTGTGGAGAAATATGTGGAAAGAAAAGCTGAAAGAAGACTGTAACTCAACACCAGGGAAAATGAAAGATGTTCTTTAAATAAATAGTTCCACACAGACATTGTCATTGTTTTCCATGGATGTTTTCATTATAGGATTGTCCATAAAAAATTTCAGAGTAATAAAAGCAACATCTTCCCTCCCTCCCTCCCTCTCTCCCTCCCTCCTTCCTTCCTTCCTTCTCCAAGGAGAGAGCAGAAAGGAAGAAAGGAAGAATAAAAGGGCATGGCTAACAACAGAATAAAATATATCTGGTAGTTCTTGCTTTAAAGGATGGTTTTACACACAATTGCATAATTAGAAACTGTCAGTCCAGACAGGAAACACAACTAGATGAGCTAATTCTACTTTACTATTATCCATTGGGGGCTACTCCCTCTCTTGTCTAATTGTTTCCTCATGCGAGTGGAGCTTTGTGTGCGAGCTCAAGTGTGCTCCACTCACATGAGTGAAACTTTGTACGTGTGTGCACATGCTTGCCCGCCACTCATGCGAGTGAAACTTCATGCACACACACTTGACTATTTCTCCCACAGCCCGGTTTCGAACAGGCTGCAGCCTGGTAGTAGGCTATGGCCCAGGGGTTGGGAACCCGTTCTAGGCAGCATCTCTTCCTTATCCCCCAAGGTCATCCACACATTCTATTACAGAAACTGTACCAAAAAGCCTTTTCAGGGATGATTTTAGATTTCCATTCTGTTCAACAAGATTCACACTTCATTCACTTGAAGTGCTCCTCCTGCTCCTGAATTTTTTTTATAGCCTGCAACATTGACTGCTTTCTGCCAGAAATCTAATTATCAAAACCTGAAGTCAAAATCTCCCTTTGTATCCTGTCTGGTGCTTGAGCATTTCATCTCAGCTGGTGTATGTCCTGAACAGATTTTAGATAGAGGCTCCAAGCTGTAGACATGAATACAAAGGTATATTAGGGGGGAAAAAAAACAAGTACAAAGGAATCCTTCAGTGTTTACAGCTGGCGCTTCTTTAGCATTAAATGACAGCCCACACACTGCAGTTTACATCAATTTGTCTGAGATACAATAGTAAGACTTATATACTGTTTCATAGTGTTTTACAGCAGGGGTCACCAACCCCCGGTTCATGGACCGGCACCAGTCTGCAGCATGTCAGCAAGTGGGCCGCACAAACAAGCAAAGCTCCATCCTCGGAATGCAGGCAGTATTCAAAACCACACCCCCTGTGGTCCATGGAAAAACCTTTCTCCATGGCACCGGTTCCTAGTGCCCATCTGCTTTACAGCACTCTCTGAATGGTTTCAGAGGTCAGCATATTGCCCATAACAATCTGGGTCCTCATTTTACTGATCTTGGAAGGGTGGAAGGCTGAGTCAACTTTGGGCCAGTCAGGATTGAACTCCTGGCTGTGGGCAGAGTCAGCCTGCAATACTACTTTCTAAGCACTGCACCACCACAATTCAATAACATTTCATAACTTCTTTACCATTTGGGTTACCAATTTCAGTGGTGAGACTAGATATACTTTTCAGACTTTTACACACATTTTCTCTTGACTTGTTTTTATACACTGACTAGAAAGACAAAACAGATCCATGTATTGGAGGTGTAGGTCTCAGTACAAAAAAAAATACTGATGATTAATTTTTTTTCTGAAAAAAGCACAATTTGTTGATTCCCTAAAGCACAGAAATCTGTCTATTTTTGTTCTTGTTGTTCATATCTCCTATAAGCTAAGCTTACTCATGTGTATTCAGGAGTAGATTGAGATGTTTTTCTTTCCAGATAAGTGTGTATCAGATTGTCGCCTTGATCTCTTAAAGTTGATTCTCTCTTCCTGACTTTAAAAATAATAAAACTTTCTGCACTTTCAACAGCCTGGATAATGAAAAGAAAAAATGAAAATGAATTCATCTTTCATATATTTTTCTATTGCAAATATATTTTGTATATTTTTCTACTGCAGAGATACAGGTAGTTCTCCATTTGCAACCATAATTATTTCAAACCCAAAATTATAGTCATAAGTCATTATGATCATAAGTCAAGGCATCATATGATTGGGTTCAAAATTACATTTTTACAACAATCATTAAGCAACTGTTAAGCAAACCTTAATTGCCCCATTTATTGCTGGAATACAAAGGTAAAAATCAAAAACTGACAAAAAAATGTTGCAAATCACGATCATGTTACTGTAGGATGCTACAAACAGCCATTAAAGTAACCTGGTTGTCAAGCACCTAAAGTGTGATCATGTGACCACAGGGGTGTGCAGCCTTCCTGAGCCGAAAGAGGGTCATAAATAGCTCTGGGAAAGTGTCATAATTCAGATGGTCATTAAGCAACTAGTTGTACGTTGAGAAATATCTTGCTGAAGTGGCTATTTGGCCCAGTTTATTTACATGTTGTATTTTTTTGCCTTTAGTTTATAAAATTATATACTCCGATCCAATCAACCAATTAATTTATCAACATAATCAACTGACTGATTAATAATTATTACTTGATACATCCCAAATGAGCAAATGAAATTAATGGGTAGAAGTTCTTTGTCCAGGAAGATAATTATTTCATTATGAAGATCTGGTAACTTTGCATCATTTTTAGGCTAACAGAATATAGATCTGATATTCTCTGGAGATCTTCTGCTCAAGTATTAACCAGGGCTAATTCTGCTTTGCTTCCAAATTCAGACAACATTGGACAGGTGTTGCAAGGACAAATTTTTCTTAATGGTTAAAACATAAAAGGGAATAGTGAGTTTTGTGCAATTATGTGGGAGTCAATACATGGTAGATAAATTCTGTTTCACATTTCAGAATAAGAACTGTGTATAAAGAAGTATGTTTTTTATACCATCAATTACATCTAAGGTCTTTAAAAAGTATTCTCAACACACAGCAGTAAAAATAATGAGATGTAATTGAATTGTTGACAACTGTTTTTCGCTTGTGGCAGCAACATTAAATAATAACAATTTTTCTCATTTCAGCGTTCAGGTGGTGCCTTAGCTATTCCTCTGTGTGCATTTCAAGGAACTGTGTCTCTCCAAGCTCCCACAGGAAAAACCCTCTCTTTATCTACATATGAGGTAAGCTCAGAAGGACAAAAAATCACTCCCGCATCCAAGAAAATTGAAGTGTATCGCTCCAAGAGTGTGGGCCATGAGCCAAATCCTGAGGATTCTCCAACCACATTTACTGACACCAACGTGAAGATTCACTTAGAGGTGCTTGAAATTTGTGACAATGAAGAAGCTATGGACACCGTTTCCATCATTAGTAATATTAGCCAATCCTCTGCCCAGGTCCGGTCTCCATCCTTACGTTATTCTCGGAAAGAAAATAGATTTGTCTCATGCGATTTAGGAGAAACAGCATCTTATTCACTCTTCATACCGTCAAGCAATCCCAACAGTGATCTGAACATATCCATTCCTGACACTGTCGAAGCTCACAGACAGAATAGTAAAAAGCAGCACTTGGAAAAAGAGGGTTATCAAGAAGAAATACAAATGTTAAACAAAGCATACAGGAAAAGAGAAGAAGATGGGCTTGGCAACTAAAATGGAGAAAAAAGTGACTGTGAATAATTTGTACCCTCATTTTTTAAGTTTGCTTGGATCCTGAACCATTTATTCATGGCATTTGAGAAAACAATTGAATAACATTAATACATTCACAACAGAACATTACATACTTTGTCCAAAGGCTGAATATTTTTCTATATTCCTTACAAATAGGGTAGCAGGGAAGATCACTGGCTAGAACAGATTTCCCTTTCTGCCTTCTGAAGAATTACTGTTGGACATTTCCTTGATGAAGCAACTCAAATCTCTACTCTTAATGCCAGTTTTGCTGCACTAGTTGTGGAGCCAAAAGTGAGGCCTTTGAGGGGTATATAAAGGAGGCTGCGAATCCTGAATTAAAAATTGGGGTTAAGGATTTCAGCCTCCCAGCCAACAATCTCAGGGGGGCCATGAGTTACCTCAGACCCCCAGTCCTTTTTTTAAAATGATTTCTAGCTTTTATAGGATTTGAGATGGGAGGCAAAATGAATCTGACCTCGACCTTATGACAACATTGCAATATTTCTGATAAAAGGATAAAGATGGTTTTGACTTCCTACCTAGCCTACACCTCTGCCATTCTTTCATGATATGCTATACAATTACTAACCAGACCTGACTCTGCTTGGTTTCCAAACACAGATCAGTTCCACCAGGCACAGCACTATTCAGTCTATTCCTTTCACCAGAAAGGAAATTGCTATCATCTTTCAGTGTATTTAGTCAACATAACAATAGTTGTGACTGGCCATTTGTGAACAGTGTTAAGTGTAGAGATTAATATGAAATGGCCACTTGTTTACAGGAGGAACTTCTTGGTCATTTTAACTCAATGATCTTTTTATCCTTCTGGAGTAGTGATTAAGGACCATTGCAAATAGTCACTTTGCTTTCAAGAAAGCTGTAAAAATGTAACCTGTTTTTACACTAATATACAGATTGGAAAGGCTTTTGCACTGATGTATATAAATTAAAGAGCTTTTTTTCCATAAAGCATATAAAAATATTATGGATATCATAGAAAAAATAGGAGAACTACTGTAAGCAACTAGCTCCATCATGAACTAGATCTGCTATAAAAGCTATGAATATACAGAATGCGATATACTGCTTTCATCAGAATGTGGTTAGGACTAGGTACTTAGAACTATTGAAGCCAATGACAGAGAAGTAATATAAAGAAACCAACTCCATTTCTCATTCTAGCTTCAAAAAGTTAGTTGGGTCTTATACCTAGAATAACAAAAAATAATTTCCATTTCTTCCATTGGATTTACATAGACTATGTATGATTCAAAATACTGAAACCATTTCAAACTGGAATAGGACAGAAAGAAAGAGAGAGTGTGTGTCTTTCTAATTTAATACTTCTACCATTTGCTTTAATTTTTAATACTGGACTAACTCCATGTGGATACATATAAAAGTGGAGGTGATCAAAAGCCATTTTTCCAAGGAATATTATTATAACAAATGCTGTGTGTGTTTGTACAGAGATACATAAAATTGTCTGTACTTTTTAATTCTTGCATTGTTTTTAATTTCACAAAACTGAAATATGTCTCTCATATTTTGAAATAATTGCTCTGTGCCATATAAACTTTAAAACGAGTCCTGCTGCTTGCTTTAGCACTGAGAGTTTTATCGCAGTATTTGCACAAATTGAGCTCCAGTAGAATGACTATAAAGCTACCACAATATAAACAATCAAGAAAGAATTGATTTTACAATCCATTTTTTAACTTTAATAAACATTCTACCCAAGAAAATGATTTTATCTTCCTGGAGCTTTTGGTGATATATATATATATATATGTGACTGGCTGTCTTTCAATCAATCAATCATTTTATCTGTGGAACACAACTAATTTTGTCTTTGATGTATTCATTTTCAGATCCATTCTTCTCATTGCATCATATAATCTAACACACATTTTATACCATTCAGGTTTTCTGCAACCAACATTGCATTGTGTGCATATAACAGTGCACACGTGCTGAAATCCATAAGCAATTTACCTCTAATGAACGCAAGCATACATTTATCCATCAATATATTATGCAACCATAAGATCATCACATATCCTTGTTTTATTCCCTTTTCAATGTTGAAACATTTGTCAAGTACTCAACTTTTTTGTCACTCGTTCTTTACTTTCATCATATATCACTTTTACCATATTCAGTAGCCAATATTCAATTCCATATCTTCGCAAAATATTTCATAATCCAAGCCTGTTCACTTTATCATATGCTTCCTTTAATCAATAAGCATATAAACAATGTTAGTTTGTCAAATCTCGCATCAGTTTTGAAAGTGAGAAAGAAGTGTAGTTCCAGGTGTATTGGCAGAAACATCAATAAGGTGGGGGCAATATTGCTCCAAAATTCATTATAGGAAGTTAACTCTTTGTCTTTCTTGCACTTTATGAACATGGTATGAAATCCACAGACATTCTCAACAGTTTGCTGTGCCCCAAAAGGTATATTCTCTCTCTCTCTCTCTCTCTCTCTCTCTCTCTCTCTCTCTCTCTCTCTCCCTCTCTCTCTCTCTCTCTCTCTCTCTCTGTGTGTGTGTGTGTGTGTATAAAAATAATGGTAAAAATAAAAGAGTGATTCCTGGGTGTATGCATACTAAGAAATAAAACGTGAGCACCAGGAAAAGTTAAGTTTTATAAAACATTAAAAGTTTAAATATAAAACATTTAAAAAATTTTTAAAAAGCAGACCTAGCTTTCGTTGGCTCCTACCAACATCATCAGGGTGCAAATGAAACAGTGGGAGAGACTTGGTGATAATGATCACACACTGGATTGTAGAAAGGCTATGTGCCCTCTTGAGTCACAGATGCAGAGAGGTGGGAAAGTGAAAGCTAGTACGCATGTGGATGGGGAGAATGAGAACAAACTGAGCAATTATGTAGCAATTGACACAGGTGCAACAATTGGCCGATTGGGACCTGTTACAGGAGTCAAGGAGTCAGCGCAGGCGCTGGCTTGTTTATAAATGTCTCTCCCATTGATTCATTTACACCCTGATGATGTTGGCAGGAGCCAACGAAAGCTAGGTCTGCTTTTTAAAAAACTTTTAAATGTTTTATATTTAAACTTTTAATGTTTTATAAAACTTTTAATGTTTTATAAAACTTTTAATGTTTTAACTTTTCCTGGTGCTCACGTTTATATATATATATATATATATATATATATATATATATATATATATATATATGTAGGTCTTTGGTTGTTCGGGTTTTCTCCCGCGTAAAATTGGAAGTGTATTGGCGACGTTTCGACGAAGTCCCATTCGTCATCTTCAGGCTGGTGTTTTCAGCTTCGTGCTTCGAGCAGCAATGTGTGGTCTTAGCTGTTTCTTCCTTTTAACTGCAAGTGGGGGTATGAACTGATTGGGTGGGAGCTTGGCTGTGTTCTGATTGGGTGGAGGTGTGTTCTGATTGGTTAGGGGCATGGCTGTGCTCTGATTGGCTGGGGGGTTGGCTGTGCTCTGATTGGCTGGGGGGTTGGCTGTGCTCTGATTGGCTGGGGGAGTGTTCTGTTTGGTTGTGCTCAGGTTAGTCTGAGTTGCAGGGGGGTTTAAGATTTTGGGCTGCCTTGCTATTTTTTGGCTTCGCGTTCGTGGTCGTGCCTCATCTTCATGGAGGGTGTCAGTTTGCTTCATGTATAGATTGGAGGGGTTTAAAGTGGCTAATGATGCAGCTGTGGTCTGGCTTCTGGTTTGTGGTCGTGCCTCATCATCGATGTGGCTTTGGGTTTGTTTTTTGCGTGGATGTGTGGTGGTGACCTCCTGTGTGGTTTTTGTGAGTGTGGGTCTGGTATCATTTTTTGTGTTAGGGAGTCGTTTGTCAATAAGGGCGGGTTTCCAAATGGCTGGTATGCGGGAGGTATCATCTCGCTTGTTCATGCTGTGTGGGCGTTTTTCTATCTCGATGGCTTCTCTGATTATTCTGTTATTAAAATGTTCACTTTTGGCAATGGTTCTGGTATTTTTAAAGTCAATTTCATGTCCTGTGGCTTTAAGGTGTTGGACCAGGGACCAACCTACTCCAAGACTCCACATACAAATCCCTAAATACAGATCCCACCACCTACCTGGAAAAAACCACCAGATCCAAAATAAAAGCCTCCCCCATTAGCGAAGAGATCCAGCAAAGAATCATTCCCAGAGAGAAATCATCCAGATGCCCCAAACTCTATGGTCTCCCCAAGATACACAAGGAAGGAACCCCACTCAGACCTATAGTCAGCTCCATAGGCTTACCTCTACAAAACCTAGCCAAATTTCTCGCCAAACAACTACAGCCCTATGCAGAATCCATCACCTCACACGTAAAAAACTCATTCCACTTTATAGAGATCATAAAGAAACAAAACTTACAGCCCAGCGACCTACTCGTGAGCTTTGATGTCATATCCCTCTTCACCCAAGTGCCTATCAAAGAAGCCTTGACAGCTATCCAAAACAAATATAACCCCCCCAAACACATCTTAGATCTGACCAACCACTGCCTATCCAACACATACTTCATCTATAATGGACAAAAATACAAACAAACAGAAGGAGCACCCATGGGATCACCCCTCTCACCTGTCATTGCCAACCTCTACATGGAACACTTTGAAACCCAAGCTCTAGAAAAATCGGATCACAAACCCAAACTCTGGCTCAGATACGTAGACGACACCTTCATAATCTGGCCACATGGGAAAGAAAAACTGGACAACTTCCTCACACACCTCAACAGCCTACACCCCAAAATACAGTTCACCATGGAAACAGAAGCTAACAACCAACTTCCCTTCCTGGATGTCTTAGTCTACAAGAAATCCAATGGCTCCCTAGGACACACCATCTACCAGAAGAAAACACACACAAACCGCTATCTGCACGCTCTCTCACACCACCACCCAGCACAGATCAACTCTGTAGCCAAGACACTCATCTCCAGAACAAAACGCTTAGCTGACGAACAACACCTAAAACCCGAACTACACACTCTCACCAATGTACTAACATCCAATGGATTCCATAGAAATAAGATTACAAACCTAATCCAAAAAGAAACCCCCACTAAAATCCAAGACAAAGAACAAGAAAACGGCAAAGCCCTCCTCCCATACATAAAAGGCACCACAGACAGAATCAGTAAGATCCTCCATAAACACAACATCAAAACAGCATTCTGCACAAACAGAAAAATATCCACCATCCTTAGAAACCCCAAAGATAAAATTGAATTAGAAAATCAAGGAGTATACGAAATCCCATGCACCACTTGTCCCACCACATACATCGGACAAACCAACAGAAGAATAAGTGCACGCATTGAAGAACATAAGAACTCAGTCAAAAAAGAGGAACCAACATCTTCCCTGGTCCAACACCTTAAAGCCACAGGACATGAAATTGACTTTAAAAATACCAGAACCATTGCCAAAAGTGAACATTTTAATAACAGAATAATCAGAGAAGCCATCGAGATAGAAAAACGCCCACACAGCATGAACAAGCGAGATGATACCTCCCGCCTACCAGCCATTTGGAAACCCGCCCTTATTGACAAACGACTCCCTAACACAAAAAATGATACCAGACCCACACTCACAAAAACCACACAGGATGTCACCACCACACATCCACGCAAAAAGCAAACCCAAAGCCACACCGATGATGAGGCACGACCACAAACCAGAAGCCAGACCAGAGCTGCATCATTAGCCACTTTAAAGCCCTCCAATCCATACATGAAGCAAACTGACACCCTCCATGAAATGAGGCACGACCACAAACGCGAAGCCAAAAAATAGCAAGGCAGCCCAAAATCTTAAACCCCTCTGCAACTCAGACTAACCTGAGCACAACCAAACAGAACACTCCCCCAGCCAATCAGAGCACAGCCAACCCCCCAGCCAATCAGAGCACAGCCAACCCCCAGCCAATCAGAGCACAGCCAGCCCCTAACCAATCAGAACACACCTCCACCCAATCAGAACACAGCCAAGCTCCCACCCAATCAGTTCATACCCCCACTGGCAGTTAAAAGGAAGAAACAGCTAAGACCACACATTGCTGCTCGAAGCACGAAGCTGAAAACACCAGCCTGAAGATGACGAATGGGACTTCGTCGAAACGTCGCCAAGACACTTCCAATTTTACGCGGGAGAAAACCCGAACAACCAAAGACCTACATACAAACACCCGCGAAAACCTCAGAAAATATATATATATATATATATATATATATATATATATATATACACACACACACACACACACACACACACACACACACACACACACATACACATATAATAGCTATTACAATAAGGTTTGAATTTAATTAAATTCAGATGTGCACATTTGGATGCTTTATTGAAAACTTGGAATTTCTTCAAATGACCTATTTCCACAGGGATCAATAGTGCAGAGATTTCAAAGGATCCATCATACAGGGGATTGCTGATTAAGTCATCCTTAAACTGTCCATATTCTTATGATGTTGATAGGAGAGATGCAGATATTTTACTGCTCTTGTTTACCAGTTCTATTTTTAATTTGCATTGAAGTCACCAGTCTGTTAGTTAAGATGATTAATTTATCTTTCACCTTTCCTTGATTTTCATCAACTTCAAAGAGAATTTTTCAATTAGGGCATTTCAAACTGTTCAAATTACTGATTCAGAACTCCTGTCATGATGTGCTTTGCAGTCACTAAAGCTGCAAACCACAAGTGCGGAGAGCATTCTGAGTTTTTAAAGAAAGGGCTAAATCTAATTTTTGAATACTGAAATGAAAATTCTGTTCTTAAAGCCTCCAAATTCTCACTGTTCAGTACTGCCTATCAGCTTTATGTCCTGTTTTCTATTAATTTCTTAAGAGCCTCTAATGATTATACACACAAACTTCATCATACTTCCAAGAATTTGGTCCAACTTCCAATGTCCATTTTAATACTAAACTGCAACTATCCAATTTCTCCCCAACAACATAAATCATACTAGGGTACAAAAAAAATATAAATCGTAAGATACAAGCTGCAAAGTTATAGTCATAAGAAGATAAGGAGGTAATAGGAATAGGAAAGATGAGGAGTATCATAGTAATACAACTTTACTAAGTATTTTGACAGTGTTAGTTATTAAGCAGAGTGTGCAGTGTCGTCTTGAGGGAAGAAGTTGAAACAGTTTATGTCCAGGATGAAAGGGGTCTGTAGATTTTCACAGCTCTCTTTCTTGCTCGTGCAGAGAGCATTCTAAAGTTTCAGAGCAGTTATCAACAATTGTTAAGTCTGGGTTATTGTTATTATTAATTATTATTACATTCATCCTTTATTTTATGCAACTTAAGATGATATATATAATGCTTCCATTTCCTATTTTCTCCGCAACAATCTAGTAAGGAGAATTGGATTGCAAAATTGTAAAGTCCAAAATTACCAAGCCAGTTTTCATGTTTAATGCAGGACTAATG